CCCTCCCCTGTCACTGCTGGCTGCTGTCTCCCTCAGGACAGAGGCCGGGGGGGGACACCCCTCGATGCCAGCGCTCCTCCCTCCGTGCTTCCAGCTGTTTTGCTCCAGCCCAGTCTTCCTCCAGGTCAGGGCTCCAGTCTTCCTCCCCCAGCAATTCCTGCTCCCTGGGGCTGGCAGCCCCTTTGCACCTCCCCTCTGCTTTGGGGCCCCCGGGCCAACGGGGGCCAGGGGAGGCCCCCGAGAAGATGCAAGAGAGGCTGCACCGGGGCAGCCTTGGCCCCCACCCTCTCCCCCTGCGCCAGTGAGGGGGGCGCAGCCCGGCCCCGATCCGTGATCCGTGCCCGCTGTCGTTGTGTCCCCGGCTTGCTGCAGCTCGACCCGGCGGGGCAGTGCCTGCTCTGCCACAGAATAAACCCACTGGATGCCCGAGCCTGCCCTGTCTTCCTTGCGGGTGCCCAGGGATGCCCGGCTTGGCCCAGCCCAGCCCAGGCCAGGGAGGGGGGACCGGGCTCCATTGTGACATCGCGGCCCGGGCAGCTCCGCCGAGACACCGGTGCTGGCTGCTGTGCCCGGAGCCAGGTGAGTGCATCGCAGCCGCCTCCTCCGGGCCTAGGGAGCGGGGCGATGCCCACCTGCCTGCTCCACGGCAGTGCCCCCCAGGCTGGGGGAACTGCGCCCCCCCCTCCCCGGCTGGTGCCCACTGGGGGTTGCCCCCAGCTTTGTGCGGGCCAGGGAGTGCACGGGCCAAGCCAACCCATGCCAGGTAGAGGAGGGCACATGGCCCCTCACACGGCACGTGCACATGAGGCTGTGGCACATCACAGCGGCACATGTGCCACGCCGTGCTGCACGTGGAGGTTGTGACCTCAGTGCCCAAGGGGCAGGGGTCATACCAGGCTGCAGGCCCCTCCCTGCGGCGGGGCGGAGCGGGGAGCAGCCGGACCCCTGGCGTCACCCTCCTGGGGGTGGAGGCCAGGGCTGAGGCTGTCCCGGGAGCTTTCCCAGTGCCGCCTGCCCCATTCCTGGCCTGTAACGCAGAAGGGAGGGAAATGCCGGGTTAATTGCATCCTGCCTAATTATCCCAGTGTGCGCAGACTGAGTCACTGCCCGCCAGCGCCCCACATCAGCCCTGGGGACCAGCCCTCGGTGGGTGGCATCCCACCCGATCCATGTCGCTCTGGGTCTGTGCGCGGAGCTCCTCCTAGGGCCCCGGTATGCCCCCGCCCACAGAGCCCCAGGGGTGACCGGCCCATTGCCACAGACCCACCAGGCAAAGCCGGCTGAGAAGGGCCTGCCCTGTCTCGCTTGTGAGGACCTGGGAGCTGCAGGGGACAGATGCCTAAGTGCCCTGTGACCTCTCCCCCCAACCTGTCTGTTTGCACCATCCCAGTCAGCCCTGCCCTGTGTCCCAGACAAATCCCTGCCTCTCCTTGTAGGGTCCCGTCCCATGCTCATCGCCCTGGTGCAGGAAGGTCCCAGGGGCACCTGGTCCCCGTGGCCTGGGGGATGGGGCAGGCCTTCCCCTGCTCTCAGCAGGTGCTGGATCAGGATCGGAGCAGCCTGCCATCCGGTGACTCAGACCCTGCATCTGTTGCCTGGCTGCTTCAGCGCCCAGAGGCCCTGCTGCCTGTCCCGGCTCCGTCCCATTGCCCTGTCCCCAGAACATCACCCCAGCCCTCCTCGCTGCCTTACACCTCCCTCCAGGCCCTCCAAACCTTGGTCTCCCCTGCCTCCAGCCCCCAGTGCCTCTGGTTACCCATGCCCCCCACCCTCCGTGACAGTGCCCTCTTTCTGTGGGTGCAGGGCCCCGCTGGATTGGGCCCGGTGTGCACTGTGCTGCCCCTTTAAGCTCCCCGGGCTGGCATGCCAGAGGCGTGCTCCAGCGCCCAGTGAGGTCAGATAAGACACTATATTTATCTAGCCGGTAACCTGAGCTGAGAATTTCTTCAGCGGCTCACGCAGCGGCTCAGCCCTCGGCCCGTTCCAGCCTGGTCCCCGGCAGAGCCGTCTGCGCAGACATCCCGTCCTGTCCCGCAAACAGGTTAGTAGCCATCGGGTTTCTGCTTGCGCGCCAGAGCCAGCGCCGCGCTGATCCCGACGTGACCCCGTCCCGGCTGCTCCGGTGTCGCCCCATGACAAACCGTGACCCTCCGGCCCTGCTCGTCCACACGCAGGTGCGTACGGGCCCGCTCGGGGCTTACGGGACTAATTCTGGGGCCCCGGGAGACAGAGAAAGTTCAGGGAAGACTTAGCCAAGTTCACTGCTGCCTGGAAAGGAAGATGCTGAGCAGCCCAGGGAGGGCATGGCAGCAGCTCCTGGCACCCACCCTTTGCTTGTTCTTTGTTGTTCGACCCAAAACCAAGCATCCTCCACTCGCCTACACAGCCCACTGGGCACAAAACTGGCCTGCTTGTCGTCCAGTCCCACCAAGTCCCCCTTGGCCGTTGGGTGTCAGTCCGTGCCACGCAGTGGGTTTGACCGGGCTGTGGAGAGCTTGGGCAGGGGCCTGGCTGCGTCGGGCATTGAGAGCCAGCTTGGACTTTCAGCAGCGGAGGTTGGTGCCCTCTGATTGCTGCTAGGCATCAGGTGACGTGAGTTGGTAGGTCTCGGCTTGGGACCCAGGGGACAGACCGGAAAGCCGCCCGTGGAAGTGCTGCTAAATAGAGCCTTGAGCAGAGAAGGGCTTTGAAAGCTGGGGCCTTGGCCAGCTCTGTGATACGTGTGGGTGGGAGAAGGCCCATTGCCACCCAAGAGGGGAGCCATGGGGATTTGGGCACCTTGCACGCAGGGAGCAGAGCTGGGGCTCCAGGGCAGGAGCTCATCCTGTGTCTCCTGGCTCCAGCTCCAGGAGATAGTTGTGGATCTGGCCCCACAACACAGACCACGTGCAGGCTGTGCCCCCCCCCAAGTCATGCCGGCAGGGCCAGCAGGTGATTTGCACTGAGCCCCGGAGCAGTTAAGGTGCCTGGCTGATCCGCTGATAGGCAGCGTCCCCTGGGCCATGGAGCTTCTCGTGCAAGGGAAACGTGCAGGCAGCTCCCAGCCCCCAGATAACCCCACGGGCTGCGAGGAATTCCTGGCATAACAGACCTCGCCGCCCGGCAGCAAACAGGCCCTTCCCCTTGCGACCCTCGGAGAGGGGCATTCCCTCTCCCCGAGCCTGGAGGCCTGGGTGGAGTGGGTCCGTGAGGGGTTCGATTTGGTGTCCCACTCTGCTAAGAGCTCCGCCGGGCCCCCTCTCTCATCCCAGCCCCCAGCAGCCGTCCGCCGGTCGCAGGTGACCCTGCCCCAGGAGGCAGCGGATGCCCCGTGGTGCTGGGTACGGCTTGTCGAGATCTAGGGTAACCTCCAGGCTGGGACATTGTGTCTCTGAGGCTTTGACTCCGCTCTAGCACCTGGGTAAGCAAGAAATGCCTGTGCCGTGATGGCTCTAGCACGCGAGCAGGCGCTGGGGCTGGGTAAGCCAAGTCCACGGGGACAGTGTCGGTGCAGGGAGCAGAGCAGCATCCCCCGGCGAGGTTACCGGGGTGGGGACAGAGCTCTGGCACCGTGGCCCAGGCACTATTGCCAGCAGGTTTGGGAAGGCACAGGGTCCCCTCCGTCATGCCCAGCCAACCGGCTCAGTGACCGCCCTCATGTGCAGCCCAGCACCTCCAGGCCAGCTCTGCAATCTCCTGGAGCACTTGGGGGTTGTCTGAGGGGACCAGGCCTCTCTCCTCACCCAGAGGTGGAGCCAAGCCCATGCCTGTCTCACAGAGGGCGTCTCTGGGCTGCCAGGCCTTGGCACACTTCCCTGCCTTGAAGCTTCAGCTCCAGACTACTCAAGGGGGAACGGGGCAGTCTAGTGGTGAGGGCTCAGAGCCAAGACTCCTGGGTCCCATTCCCAAGCTCGCCTCTCCCTCGCCACATGACTGTGGACCGGATGTGTCTGTGCCTCAGCTTCTCCATCTGCACAATGGGACTAATGACAGAGCGGCAGCCTCCCAGGGAGGGTGGAGGCCTGCCTGAGTCACTGGGGCCTGCCGCGGCCTTTGAAGTCCCGGGTGCTATAAAAGTGCCGGGAATTATTCCAGAGAGAAGCTGGGCTGGTCGGGATCCTCCCGCCTCAAGGTCTCAGGACAGGTGTCTGGTCTCTTGCAGTCCTGGGGCCCAGGATGGTGTGACACAGCCCGGGACGCTCCGCGGAGCAGGCAGCTGGCACAAAAGTGGCGATCTTAGATGGTAAGCGGTGAGGGGCCCTCCCGACATGGGGCAGAGGCACAGGAGTGCCTGGGGACAGGGCACTGGCACATGACCAATGTCCTCAGACGTAGCCTGACGCTGGGGCTTGGCCACTGTGGTCTTGAAACATGTTCTGGCTGATTCCTCCCTCGTCCCCCATAGCTTTGAGCTCATATTGTGTTTCTTGGAAATGAATTTCCACAGCTGCTTGTTTCACCCCAGAGGTGGCTGCCTCGGTCCTGGCTGGGGGGCTGTCAGGAGAGGTGCTTTCTGCAACAGCGGGGGGACACGGTCATCGGGGGGAGAGTCCAGCCCTGTGTGTGGCTCGTGAGGGAAGGGGCCCTGTTGAAAGACGGGCACTATGTGGGGGGAAAAGGGACTCGAAGAAGTGGGGCTATGGGGTGGGCACTGAACTGGGGCTGGTCTGTGCCAGGACTGGGCCCCGCAGCTGCCCTGGCACCAGGGAGCCTGCTCTGGGCTAGGCTCCGGGGCAGCCCAGAGGGTGTCTGTGCTGAGCTCACCTGCTGCTGAAAGGGGCCGGGAGCTGCGTGGCCTGTGCCCCGCGAGCAGCCCCCATACACCCAGTACCCGTTGGGTCGTGCCACCCTTCAATGCGGCTCCTACTTGCCTACAAACCAAGCCCCTGCCATGCCAAGGGCAGCAGGGCTGGGGCATCAGCTCCTGCTGATGGAGGGAGGGAGCAGCCTCGCCCCAGCTGGATTATTCACCCCAGCGGCCTCCTCCCCAAACAGGTCTGTGTGCTCGGGCTGGCTTTGCCGGCTCAGCGTTCCCGACCCACTCAGGGATGATTGTTTCCTCAAGAGGACGGGATCCCAGCCCAATGCTGGCGCAGCCCAGAGGCCCAGACAGAAAATCCCTGGGGCGTGGGCAGGGGCTGAGACACTGCTGTGCTGGGCCTGAGCAGCTGAGGCACGAGCGTGGTTAGCATAGCCTCCCCGGGACCCGTGACGCTCCCTCCAGCGGCCTCCGATTTCACGTGGATCGCTTTCACCCGCCCGCCTGCCAGTGGAAAATCCAAAGCTCCTGCACCGCGATGGGGCCCAAGGGCCATGCACGGCCCCCATGACCCGAGCCCCTGCGCCTGGGGGGCCTCGGCCCCCAGTGGGGGGGCATCATTAGGGCACAGACGGGGGCCTGGGCTGCTAGTGCTGACGACTCCGGGTGGCTGAGCTGGACCCAGGTGGACCCGGCATCCTTGGACCGTGCGGCAGGACTCGGGCTACCTGGGGGAGCAGGCGGAGGCCAAGCCCGGTGCTCCCGGGCCCGCGTGGCTGCAGGGGGCTGGGGCTCGGGACCTCTGGAGCTACCCCTGGCTCTGCATACTGCAGCCGAGGCCCCTGCACACCTCTGCCTGCTCCGTCAGGGCCTTGCTATGTGTCCCCAGCTGCTGACCTCACTGCCCTGGGGCTTGTGGCTGTGTCACCGGCACCGTGGCACATGGGTCAGCAAGGCTCCGGGGATGGGTGGCGTGGCAGATGCTTGGAGATCCCCAGCAGTGAGGCATGGCGGGTGTGGGTCAGCCTGCCCTCGACCGTGGCCCCTGTGCCAGCGGCAGGCAGCGCGCCGCACAGCTGCTCCAGGCAGCGAGTGTGTGCCAGCCCTGCCCTGGCACCCGGCCAAGCGTGCCGAAATCCCGCCCAGCTGCGCCGGGGAAGGGTTTTGAATCAGGGTCGTTGCCTTGGTGACCGGAGACTCTCGGAGCCATGCGATCCGCTGTCCTGAAAGTGTGGGGAAGCGAGCGGCAGGCCCACAGGACTGTCCAGGGGCTTCCCCGGCACCAGGTAATGTCCCTAGGCCCCTTGGGGGCCAGCCAGAGCCCGGGCCTGGGAGCCCTGACCCTGCCCCACGCCAGCTGCTGCCCCTCTGCATGGAGCTGCACCAGCAACAAACTTTCCTCCCAGTTGCAGCCCAGCGGGTGCCCACGTGCACCCCCCTGCATCTCACCTGGGGTCTGTTGGGAAGTGGGAGTGAGGGGGGGGTGCTCTTGAGAGCAGTGCTTGTGACCCACCAGGCTCTGTTGCGGTGGGGGCAGGGGGTGGAGAGCTGGCCAAGGGGGTGCCCTGGGCACCCCCTCTTGCATGCAGCAGTGCTTCTGCCTTCAGGGCACTGCCCAGGGCTACGGACACTAGTAGGACTCCAAACTCCTGGGTGCTGTTGCTAGCTCTGCTACTGACTCATTGGCTGGCCTTGGGCATGGCACTTACCCCACCCTGGGTCCAAACTTGACTGACTGCCTGTAGTGGGCACTTCCAGCCATGGGTGTGATGCCCCTCAGGGGCATCTCCCCCCCCCCCCCCCCCCCATCCCATAGGTGCCCAGAGGTGAAGCTGGCACCAGGAGTCTTGGCCTGGCGTCTTTGCTCTCCTGTGCTGCCTATGGTTGGCCCCCAGTCTAGCCCAGTAACACCCTTCCCCCTCCCATCCCAGAGCTTTTGAATTGGGTCAGGTCTTCCCCCACCCCCAGCCCTTTCTTGCAGCAGCCTGGAGCAGAGCTGGCAGCTCCTGAATAGCCCCAGCCTCTGCTTCTGGAATACCAAGGTCCCGAGGCCGGCAGGGGAGGGGGCATTCCCATGCCCAGCCGCTCCAACAGGGCATCCCATGGGCATCACAGTAGCATGCTCCAGCCGGAAGCGCGCTTGCGGGGCTGAATTATTGATGGGGCAGCAGCGTCCCTGGGCAGATCAGGTGCAGTGTGGCTGGGAGCAGGTGGCAGGGCCTCGCTGTGGCCCTGATCCTTAGTCTTCCCATGGTTTCTCATCACCCTTCCTCCTCTCTGCCCCCCTGCACTCCCAGGTCCAGTCCTTCGCTCTGTTGTCTTCCTCTGACCTCACAGTGGGGCATGAGGGGGTCCAGCTCCCAGTCTCTGCTGCACGTGCCGGTCAGGCTGTGGGGAGGGGAACTTCTGAGGCCACGCTCCATCCTCTGGCACCTGGGCTGAGACTGTACAAACTCATTCTCCATGTGGCTGCACGATGGGCAGGGCTTTCGGGCCTTCCAAACTCCCTGGACACCCCTCCAGTCCCTGGGCCCCGGCATACTGGGATCCAGTTCCTTTCTGCCCACCATGTGTCACTGACTGCCCCTGGGAAGGTGGGGAGGACAGGCAGTCCCCTGCCAGGCCGTGGCTCCCTCCTAGGGGCTGGGGGAGCAGGTTTTGGTGAGGCAAGTGGCAGGCGGTGCTGGAGCCTGTCTCCCCGGCAGGTATGGGCAGAGGGCTCCTTCCCCCTGGGTCCCCCCCGGGGGCATGTGGAGATGCCCTTTTCCAGCCTCTGACCCCTCTCTCTGGGCTCTCCTCCCACAGTCGATGCTGCCAGTGGTGCTCACCCAGCCCCGGCCACCAGGATGTCCCAGCTCTCCTCCACCCTGAAGCGCTACGTGGACTCGTCCCGCTACGCAGAGACCACCTACAGCAAGACCCCCAGCTATGGCTCCTACTCCTATGGCTCCAACCTTACCACCTCCTACCCAGACAAGGACAAAATCGGCTTTAAAACTGGCCCCACTGGCACCTACATGGCTCCTAGCCATCTCCGTGCCACGGGCTCCTCCCCGACCAGCTACGACCCGGGCCGGCTGTCCCTGCACTCCGACCCCAGCATCCGGCTGAACCTGGGCTACAGGCACGTGCCAGGGCGACCAGTGGGTACCAGCGGCCTAAACGGGGGATCCTGCTACTCCTATGCCGGTTCGCCCAGCAGCCCCACCAGCTACGTCCCAGCGCCGGCCTCCCTGAGCCGCAAGAAGTCCAGCAGCCACTCGGACCTGGCGCGAGAGTTTGCAGGGCTGCACACGTCCGAGTCGTACCGAGTGGACTCGCCTGCCCGCAGCCCCGTCGTCGCCCGCAACCGGCCGGAGCTGTGCGCCCTGCAGAGTCTCTACCAGGCCGCCAGCCGCTCGGAGTATGTTCAGGAGTACCTGCAGTCCTACAGCCGCAAGGGCGGCCGCCCCCTCGCCAGCCCCCACCCCTCAGCCCAGGAGATTATCACGCCCACCCTGCGCACCCCCAGCCACTGCTCCAGCCAGCCCTGGGAGCGCAGCCAGAGCCGCACCGACTCGCCTGCCAGGGATGCTTCGGTAAGTGCCGCGTCTCGGCCCGGGAGGTGGAAGGCGTTGGTGCCTGGTTTGGGGTGGGGGTGGTCGAACCAAGATGCAGGTCAGCAGCAGTGAGCAAATGAGCATGGCAGTGTTGTGCAGTGGTTAGAGCAACAGTGAGAGAGGCCGGACACCTGGGCTCTGCTCCCATGTCTTACGTGGGGCTTGGTGTGCTGGAGCAGGGGGCAGGCGGCAGGGCGCCTGGGTCCCGTCTGTAGCCCTGCGTTGGGGGCACCCTGAACCTAGCCAGTGCCTGACCTGCAGAGCTGCGCTCACTGGAGCCGGCTGTCTGGGGGACCCCTGCCCTGCCCCCTGGGTCCTGCCTCCTTCGGCGAGCGGTGCAGATGGGCTGTGCCATCCACAGACAGCCCTGGCTGCAGGCAGTCCGTGCATCCGAGCCAGGGAGGGTATTGGGGGTGAGGCTGAGCCAACTCGCAGGCCAGGGGCAGGGGACGGGCAGGGCACGCGGTCACATGGGTGGGTCTGAGAAGGGAGGGCAGGTCCTGTGCAGAGCCCTGCACACACGGGCAGTCCCGCATAGAGGAACACTTGGCATCTCTCCTCTCGTGGTTACCGTCCGGACGTGGACCCGTCTCCCAGACACCTGCGTGTTGGCCATGCTCAGGGGGGCTGGCACCCTGTGGTCAGGCCCTGCCCTGCAAACCTCTCACCCCTGCTCCCCACCTCCAATGGCAACAAAGTGAAGGGCTGGCTGGGGGGAGCGCGGACACTGAGCTGCCCAGGGGACCAGGCAGCAGCACAGGGCAGGAGCTCCCTGCTCATAAGCCCCAGCTACCCGAGCGGTCATGCTAATCCAGGTGGGGTGAGGGGGTCTGGATTTGCTACCCCTGCGTGCCCAGGTCTACCTGGCTCCATGCATCCTCTAGCACCAAAGGGGTGTTCAGGGCTGCGCCAGTTGCTCCGCAGGGGTCAGGGTGCTGCAGGCAGGAGATGTTGGCATGGGGGCAGTGCCCGGGGGAAGGGTTCCAGGTGGGGACAGGTGGGCAGCTCTGTGTCCTGGGGAAGCCCAGGCCAGCTCGGTGCTCCCTGCAGTCCCGGATTGTCTTCTGGTGCTCCAGCATCCAGCCTGCCCATGTGCCCACAAGCCCTTCACGCCCGTCCCTCCTGCCCCAGACCCATCCAGGGGGCACTGGCTTTGTGATAGCCCCTGCTCGCTGAGGTCACCGAGCACAGCAGAGCCCCCACAAAACCCTTGCACTGGGCAGGGGGTTCTGCATACACACCCCTACACACGCACAGAGGGGTGCATGGGCACACGGACACACATGCGCAAGTCCACACAGTCTGGCTGCTTCTTACATGTACATACCCACACACACACGCACATTCACATATTCATGCCACCTACACACACCAGCTCACAGCCTGGCTTCCTCTCCCATGTATGGGCACACACACACTCCGGCACTCATGCTTCACACACACACTCACCACCCCACCCAACACACACACATTCACACATCACCTCCACCTACACATAGAAACCAATGCACTCATTTTACCCCTGCTGTGAACAGACCTCTATATACACACACATGCACTCCACTGCCCCCGTTTGCACACACACTCCCCGGCCCCTGCACACCCGCCCCCACACACACACACACAGGGCCATGCTCACCTCTCCTCCCCCAGCTCCCGCGATGGGCTCCTGCTGGGACGCGTGAAGCTGCCCAAGCTGGCCCTGCTCTGGGCATGCCAGCCTGGCTGCGTGTGGATGTTCCCGAGACGTGGTTGAACAATGACGCTTGTTATGTAAGCTCTGCCGCGCAGAGCCGGGAGAGAGCGCCAGGCTCGCGCAGACCTCTCTGCTCCGCCTGGGCCCCAATCCCTCCCAGAGCTCCCTGCTAGGACCCTGCCTCCTGCTTCTGACCCCTGCCAGGAGGTGCCTGCTGGTGCCTGGGGGGTGGTGGGTGGGGGCAGCTGGGCAGATTCTGCAGGGAGCAGTCACTGCCAGGGGTGGGTTGGGAGTGAGGGGCACCGAGGAGCCAGGTAGCACATGCTAAGTGTGGGCCCAGCTGGGGATACAGCAGATCAAGGCAGCCGCGTGCCCCCTCCCTGCCCCTGGCACTGGGCCCAGCACAGCCCGTTCTGTGCTGCCTGAGTGCCCGGCTCGCCCTCCCCGGGAACAGGAGCCAGGTGACGTAACCCGGGCTGGGCCGGGCTGCGCCGGCTGCTGGAGACACCGTTGGGGGAGGCTGGTTCGGCCTGCGCCAGAGGCTGCGTCATGCATGACGGGGGCTCGGATAGGGACCCGCGCTCGTCTCCCAGCTGGGGTGAGGGGAGCTCGCAGTGCCTGCGCTACACGGGGCACGCGGCACGAGACGGCAGGATTCCTGCCTTGCTGCTGTAGGGCTCATCTGATGCCTCCTCTGCTCAGCTTGGGCACCTCGAGCTGCTCTGCCGAGGACCCACGGACCCCAGGAGCTGCTGGGTGGGAGGGGTCCGTGCTGTGACTGCCCCCGGCAGCCAGGAGCCAACCTCCCTGCAGCACCTTGCACTGTCAGGCTGGGGCTGGACCAGAGCTGCAAGAGGGTGGGGGCACCAGGGGGCACCTGGGCAGCCCGACGGCACCGTTCCTAGAGGGGCTTTGTCGCTGTGGGGGCTGTAGCCACCACCAGCCGCCTGCGCTTTTGCCATGGCGTCTGCTTCTCACCACGCTGCTCCAGGAGCATCAGAGCATGTCCACCCTGAGCGTTGCATGGAGACAGCCCATTCCCCATGGCGTGGCCACTCTGAGTACACGCCTGCACCTGGCTCCCATCCTGCCCACACCCGCACCTGGCAGCACACGGTGCTCAGAGCCCAGCTGGGAATTTTGCACTCCAGGTTCAATCAGGCACTCGCTTCTGCCCCGGGCACCTGCCTGGTCCCAGTCTGCTCCCGCCCCCTGGCCCAGTATGGGACTGGGAGCAGTGACCCTGCCCTTCAGTTCATCCCTGCTGGATTTGCACCCAGGGGTGGTTGGTAGGAGCCAGAGGGCAGCCTGAGCAGGGGGATTTGTGCGGCCGGCCCTGCCCCACCCACGTCCCTGAATTGCAGTGGGGAGGAGGGGCAGAGCCAGCCCCAGCCGCGTGGCTGCCCGGGGACAACAGAGGAGAGTGCAGGTGCTGTCCTAGCCCTGCCCTTGAGGCCTCAATGCAGACGTAAGCAGCCAGAGCTGGGACCAGCCAGGCCCTGTGTCCTGTCTGAACGCTGCTGGGAGCGGGGGGGCAGGACAGCATGAGACAGGAGCCTGCTGGGGCATTGCCACCTCCCTCCTTGCTAGGCAGTCATGGGCCTCGGGGAGCCTCTTGCAAGCTCTCATGCAAGCCGGGCCTAGCCCCCACCTCCGGGAACTCCCCCTGCCAACAGGAGCAAGCTGCCCTGTGATGCCATATGCTCATACCCTGGGGGGAACCTGGGACCCCGCTCCTTTGTGCCCTTCCCAGCTGAGCTGAGTCCCAGCCGGGGAGGCTGGGCTGAGACGGGACTCCAGCAGCCAGTGCCTGCCAGGCAGAGCCTTACACAACAGACTGGCCCAGGGGCAGGTGGGCTGTAACGTGGTGCGGTCCCTCCCAGAGGCAGCTGCATCTGGGAGGCTTCAGGTGGAGGTGGCAGAGCATCCTCATTCTGCCCTGTCTCCTTGCCCCTCTCTTTTCCCCCTGTCATCTAACTTCCCTGCTCTGCCCAGCTCTGGGGCAGGGGACCCAGGGCAGGACGGGAGCCTGGAAAGGGAAAACCTGGGGCTCCCCATCACACACCCCCTCGCGTGGGCTCAGACAGCTCTGGCTGGGTGGAGTGGGGCACCAAGCCAACAGCCTGGCACAGCACCGGGGGCAGCTTCTTCTGCTGTCCCCTACAGCTGGTGCCAGCTGTGCCCGGACAGGGGCAATGCTCCCTGTCTGTCTGCCCTTTGCTGCATGCCCCCGGCAGCCTGGGCCCGAGCTCCCAGCACTTCCCCTGGCAGAGCAGGCCCCTGCCTCTGATCACTCCAGCCTGACCCTTGAGCTGCCACGGGGACACGTCCCCAGCTGGCAGGCTCAGGTGGCCTGGCTGGGTTGGAGCACCACGGCTGCACGGCTGGCTGCTAAGCAGCTGGCTGAGGGGGACGGGCACGTGCAAGCTGCAGCATAGACCCCAATCCCAAGCACAGACCTGCTGCTCGGGCATTGCAAAGCACACGGTGTTGCAGGCCCCAGCTCGACTACTGCAGCTGCACAGGAGGGTCTGATCTCCGCCAGGCCCCCAAATCACTGCCGAGTCTCCCAGCTGCTCACGGTGCTGGCCGGCAGGTGCTGCCTGCGTCCCATGGCTGCCCCATGCGGAGCTTGGACCAGAACATCCTGTGCTCCTCGGCATGACGTTCCAGCCGTGCTTTTTCCAGGCCAGGAAGCACAATAGCGATCGTAAGCAATAATTAAACCACGGACGGCAGTGCTCGCGGCCACGGGCCGCAAGCGGGCGGAGGGGCACCCGGCGCTCCGATCGGTTCTGCCCCATTAAGCAGGCACCGGGGCTGTGTTGGGTACAGTTAGGTTGTCCTGGCGGTGCCTCTGCAGCCGCGCCGGGTCCCTCTGCCCCATAATCCAGCCTGAGCCATTCACTCACACGAGCTCTTGCAGCATGGGGCCAGTAGCCTGGACACCTGGGTTCAGTTCTTAACGGCAGAGGAGGAGCGGGCTCCAGCGACTAGAGAAGGACTCCTGGGTTCTTCGTAGCTCAATCTTTCCTGGGCTCAGTGCCTCAGTTTACCGTGCAGCAGGACTGTGGGGCTTCTTCAACGCACACCCGCCAGGCTCTCCAGGAGGGCTGGGAGGAGGGAGAGGTGGGCCGGCAGCTACCTCTGGCCCCTGAACCCGTGCTGCACCATTGACCATTTGGGGCAGCGAGTGACGGCAGCATCCGGTGGCCGCAGCCATCCAGAAAATTGCCGGCAGCATTGACGCTTCCACCCCCAGCTGGATCACCGGGCTTGGCCT